TTTGAGAAGGGAGTGAAAGGCTACAAGCTGTGGGATCCGAAAAACAAGAAGAAAGTGCTGAGTAGAGATGACGTGTTTGATGAAAGACTTGGAGCTGAAGCTATTGACAAAGATGAGGATCGTGAAGAGAATCATTGTCGTACTAAAATTCTTTTGTCAACGGAAGGTTATATTCCAGAAAGTCAAGCTGAGGTGGAGAAACATGACGAGCAGAAACAAGCCAAAGAGATTCATGCAGAACCTACAAGCATAGCACAATTAAGACAGAGAAGAGTCATCAAGCCTCCTCAACGATTCGGATGGGAAGATGAAGCCTGCTATGCACTCTTAGCTAGCGCAAAAAATCCTTCTACTTTCAAAGAAGCCATGGAAAGGGATGAGTGACAAGAATGGATAGGTGCTATGTCGAAGGAGATGCAATCTCTCCATAAGAACTTCGTTTTGGAGTTATTTACGAAACCGCAAGATCGAAAGATCATCGGCTCCAAGTAGGTTTATCGGAAGAAGGAAAGCATCAATAAAGCAGAGGCTCCTACCTACAAGGCAATGTTAGTTACGAAGGGGTTCTCGCAAAAGGAAGGTGTAGATTACGGTGAAATTTTTCTCCAGTGGTAAGGCATACATCCATTTGGGTGTTTCTATCTCTAGTAATGCAGCATGACATGCAACTGGAACAACTTGACGTGAAGATAGTTTTTCTTCATGGAGAATTGGAGGAAACCATCTATATGGCTCAGCCATAAGGATTTGCGGAAGAAGGAAAAGAAGACTTTGTGTGCAGATTGAAAAAGTCTTTGTATGGGCTCAAGCAATCTCCAAGATAATAGTACAAGCACTTTCACTCCTTCATGCTCCGAATTGGCTATAAGAGAGGTGAGTTTGATTGTTGTGTTTACTCACGCAAATTTGATGATGGCCACATATTATTTTGATGTTGTATGTGGATGACATGCTGATTGCATGTCGAGATATGTCAAAAATAAATGAATTCAAAGGAATGCTGAGTTTGGAATTTGACATGAAAGATCTTGGTGCCGCCAAGCAGATTCTCGGAATGGAGATTAAAAGAGATCGGGATAATGGGAGGTTGTATTTATCTCAAAGCAAGTACATTGAAAATGTCCTTGAAAGATTCAACATGGTCAATTCCAAGCTCATGTCCACTCCATTGGCTACTCACTTCAACATAAGTACAAAGCAGATATCATCTATAGAAGTTGAAGTTGAAGAAATGAAGAAGATTCTGTATGCAAGTGGAGTCGGGTGTTTAATGTACGCAATGGTATGCACAAGGCCAGATCTCGCTCAAGCGTTGAGTGTGATGTCAAAGTACATGTCAAATCCAGGTAAAGATTATTGGCAAGCTATCAAATGGATTCTCAAATACCTGAAGGGCACCAAAAACAAGGGGATTCTGTTTGAAAGATAACATGAAGAGGCGTGCATCATTGGTTTCATCGATTCCGATTACACATGAGATTTAGACAAGAGAAGATCCACAACAGGATATGTTTTCACTTGCGGTGGAGGGCCCATATCTTGGAGATTCATGCTACAATCAATCAGTGCCTTGTCTACCATAGAAGCCGAGTACATGGCATTAATGGAAGCTACGAAAGAAGCCATATGGCTCAAGGGCTTAGCAAGTGATTTGGGTCTAAATCACAACTCTGTGAAAATTCAATGTGACAGCCAAAGTGCTATTTGTCTTGAAAAGAATCAGGTATTTCATGCAAGGACAAAACACATTGAAGTACGCTATCATCAGATTCGTGATTGGCTCATGACAGGAGAGGTCGATGTGAAGAAAGTTCATACAGACGAGAATGCAACAGATTTTCTCACTAAACCAATTATGGTGGAGAAGTTCAAGTATTGCTTGAATCTGCTAAATCTGATGACATGTTAGCTCATGAGTGCACCTAGTCACCAGATGTGCGGGGAGATGAGTTGATGCTCATTAAGGTGAAGCAGCTAAAGCCAGAGCAGGACTTGCTCTGAAGTTCGGAGTCTAACTTCTTATATTCCGAAGATCCATGTTCCGAAGACAAGTGTTCGTAATTCAGATGAAGATTGACATTCCAAAAACTCGTATTCCGAAGACTAATGCTCCGAAAATGCAGCTTACAATTTCGAGTGGTGTTGGATATCTCGCCAAGGTGGAGATTGTTGGAGTTGGCTCAATTTCCAACTAAATTTATTGCTGCAATTTTCTACATACATATATAATTTTGCATGGTCTTTTCGGACATGGTGCAGTCATTATTTGTCTCGGAACTCCATATGAAAGTTGTAGAGGTACATGCATAGTTTACTCCAACCTTTGAATCATAGGAACTGGAGCAGTATGGATGGAGTTATGGTCAGTCAAAGTACCTACCCGAATCTGAACGGATTTGTGTATTCCCAAGCATTTTGGAAGATGCAAAGGTTAATCAAGGCCTATAAAAAGGCATGCTCTCATTGCGGAGAGGTAATAAAAGGCAATCCAAGGGTAATCTAAGTTTTCCACTTGTTCTCTTGAAAGTATAGAGAGTTAGAGTGAAGGAATCCAAGGGTAATCTAAGTTTTCCACTTGTTCTCTTGAAAGTATAGAGAGTTAGAGTGAAGGAGAGTCTCTTGTGTTGTAGAGATCTCGAGTGTTGAGTTAATAGACAAAGAGTGTGAGTAAGGGTTGTGTTGAAGTCGGCGTTGTCGGGTGTGCCTTGTACCCATTTGTTGATTCCATATAGTGAAATATCCTCCGAGCTCTAAGCTCAACCCGTGGTTTTTCCCGTTTGGGTTTTCCACGTAAATCTTTGTGTCCATTCTTTATGTGCTTATCTTTTATCTTTTTGTCATTAAGAACAAGAACCTGAAGTGGTCTTGAGAAGTTTCACAGTTCGTCAACACCAACAGGCAAATCTTCATTCGTCGGTAAATTTACTTTTTAGCCAATGAGCTGTTTACTGGAAGTCGGTACAACTAGGCAATTTGTCTGCATTATCCCAGTTCACTCCATCTTCGAGATGATGGTCCCAATCGTTCGGTCTACTGAGAAACAATCAGGGGTTCAAATAGTTCGGATATGACTCGCATATGATGCTTATTATATCTGTATCCACTTATCAATCTAAGATATAGATATAGATACTGATATTATCCAGATTAGGAAAACTCATATCCATGTCCACTAAACTTAGATATGGATACAGATCATATACACGCAAATGTATATGCAGATATACATTCAGATACAAAACGAATATGAGACATATGCATGTGAATTTTATATAGATCCCAAACATGAAACATATGTGTACCCATACCTAAATTCACTAACATAATATTAACAGAGTAGCATATTCACTGTAATGTGATAAACTAACATTTGGTGGACTATGCCCATAAAATAGTCAACAAGTTAATGATTAATATAAATTATCAAAGGAGAAAGTTTTGGTAGCTGATATTTTGGGTTTAATAATCTTTTTGGGCCATTTTTCGTGTCGTGTCCACTTTTGGGGAGCTTTTTCGAGTGGAAAGTGGCTAAGCACCAAAACGTTTAAGCGTCTGCTTAAGTGCAGTTTTTTAAACGTTGTTCATTAATGATTAATCTAAGGACTAAAGCAATTGTAGCTGTGTGATCAACATGTATTTAGATATTATGAATATGGATCCAGATATTTCACTATGCATCTGTATCCGTAATCATATCCTATTATATATGGATATTAGTAATCATATTTATATCCTAACTAATAAAGACATAGGGCATATCTGCGGATACAGATATTTTTTTGAACCCTTTGGAGAGTGTCCACAATGTCTATATATCTTTTTCATTTCTTAGGTTTCTTTAATATACGTGTATTTTGTCATTTTCTTTTCTTTGAGATTTTGTTTTTTTAATGGTTTTTCTTTCTAATGAGACAACATTACAGGCCTAAAAGTAAATTCACATATATCTGATTTTTTATCCATTAGAGTAGAAAAATGGATACAAAATATCCACATGTACACAATGATCGAGCCACAATTCATAATAGTGATTTGATCTTGAGAGATGACAGTAATATTGGTAAATTCTTGGAGTATTAGCTTCGTTTTAGATTGTTCCTTTGATTCCCTAACACCATCTCCAACTGGGTTTGGCATTTATTATAATTAGTTGAGTAAGGATCTATCTATTTATTAACCAATGGAATACAAGTTGTAGATATTCTACTTGTTGATATATTGAAGGTGGAACTTTCACAATTTCTGAACCATTATGCTTTTGGTATACGCCTGTGAAAGGAAGAGGCAGAACAATAGAGCTCCACTCCTGTATCTATAAACTTTTCTATACTCTATTAATTTGGGTTCCTTTTTTCCTTCATTAATGTCAACCAGCAAAAATTGATGCTAGCTTTTAAGATTTGATGATTTTCCTTGAGCACTAGATGATACTAACGGAGGAACTGTAGTGCTTCTTTTTCATTTCCTTTATTTCCTTCTTTTCCTTTTTGCTCGTACCATATGTAGAGTTGAAATCTTAACAGTTGTAAAATATAGTAAAAATAGAGCAGAGTTCTTCTTTGGTTGGTGCCTACACCGATTAAATTCTTTTTAATCTATGCAATTGCAGACTATTTTGCAATTACCGGCCAATTGGAGAAGGGGTGGAGCTTGAGGTTCAGTAGAGAGAGAGAGAGAGGATCAAGTAGTTTTGGAGAAGAACAAAGAAAGAACATACTAAAGTTTATGCCTCTGCTTCGCTGCAGCTGAACCTGACTCCTGTTTCGAGGACCTTTACTACAGAACGGGAGTGTGGAATTTCACTAAACCAGTACTCTTCTTGACCGAGCGACGCTTTCTTGTAAACGACTAGTATATGGAGACCAACAAAGGTCTTGGGTTTGGGTAACTTCCATCGATCAAGTTATAGAATTCCAAGATGACATATGATACATGTTTCTAACCTGAACAAAACACCTTAAAAGTGTTTCTAATCTGAACAAAGCATGATAGCAGAGATATAACAGTACACAAAATGTTCACTTAAGAAAAGGTAATACATCACAATGATGGTACATATTAAGCTCATCTTCAAGATGAAAAAATGAGATACATTTGCATGATAATGCACCGTGGTAGCTGTTGGCTATTTGAACAATTTCCTAAATCCATTTAGTATAGTTAGGGCTCTTAATTCACCTTTTCTCATGTCCCTCAGCCTTCGTCGCAATATCTGCAATGTATGAAACCATTATTGCCATGACATCTGCAACACATGCTATGAGCGAGACATAGGTGAAAAAACTAAAGGAATCCGATCCAAAAATGAAAATCAAGAAGAAATCGTTCAAAGGCTGAGCCTCCACAATAATATGCAAAAAGAAAATACCCGAATCTAGTGCAAATCAAATTAAGTTTCTGTTTTCCCAATATGCATAATGATTCGAATCAACTGCAAACCAAATGGAGCTTCTGTCTCATACCATTGTGGAAGCGTGTACTCTCCCACACGAGAAGAGACAGCTACCAATATGGAAAAATAACAGATTGTGCAAAATGCAATCGTACAGATCACACAAAATAGAAAAGCACATGTCACTAAAGAATACAGCATTATTCAATGATACCGTCTGTCTAAAGAGGAGAGTAATTTAGTATATCAAAGTTGTTTAAGTACTTACATATTGAGTACGGAATAAGATTCTCCGCTCACTGGTGCACAAGTCTGCCGCTAGCTGCTTCAAAAGTAATTTCCGATTGGTTTGTTTTGCGCTAGTAGTAATTGGATCGAGAGGGCTACCACCCTGCGAAATGCATAAATCATTGTATACGGAGCTTACGCAAGAATTAAGAAGCACAAAAATTATAGTGTATGCTCATGAGCCAAAATGGCATGTATCACTTGACTTATTCATATATTTGCAAAACTTAATACATTAAATGATGAGATAGCCTGAAAGAACAGGATCTGCACTGTGTCTATTTGTTCTGTTTATTCATTAAATGATGAGATAGCCTGAAAGAACAGGATCTGCACTGTATCTGTTCTGTTTATTGACAAATTAGGGGAAATCAAAATTTTAAGGATCAATTGTCAATAGAACCCCCATACCAATTTTTATTGTTGCAGATGACTCCCTAGTGAATTTCTTCTGAGTACTTTTCTATTTGTCAAAAAGACAATTTTCTTATTTCTCTGAGGGTAAAACTAGTCAAAAATTCACTTGGAAGTCTATCTGCAACAATCAAATGTTGAAATTCAGCTGCTTCACACTCATACCAACCCCCACCTGCCTATCTACAACAACTCACCAACCCTATTACTGTTCCACCAACTCAAAACATTGTTGCACTAACCCCTTTGAAGGCTATAAATAGAGGAGAGTGGTGAAGGGTTAGAGCATCGAATAGAGATCCCAGTAGCAAAGAGAGAAAGAGAGAGAGAGAGAGAGAGAGAGAGAGAAAGAGAGTATTTGTATTTGAGAGTATAGTGTGTTTGTACCACTCAAGAAATAATAATAATATATTTCTTAGTGTCCACTACTCCTCTCAACTCAACAAGTGGTATCAGAACCTGAATTAGGGTGCGTGTATTTGCTTACCGTATGCTCTGTGACTGCTACCAAAGGTGGATCCTCCACATCAGAAAATATGTTAGATTATCATTTACCCTTTGAAGGTTACTATTCACGAGCATGGTACTATTCATGAGTATGGTTACTATTTATGAATACGATTACTGTTCATAAGTACGGTTACTGTTTTACGTGAAATAGTAGAAGTTGCAGCTCGTGATAGAAGTAAGACGTCGGGATCCGCTCTCTCCTACGGTGATTCTATCAGCATTCTTGAAGGCCTATTTACAAGGACGATCTCTGGGAGGTTATTAAGGGTGCTAAAACTACAACACCTCGGGAAGCTGGCAAAGCACTAAGAAAGTGGAACATCAAAGCCGGCAAGGCTATGTATGTGCTGAAGATGACAGTAGAAGAAAACCTCGTAGACTATATGCGAGATGCTAGAACTCTGAAGGAGGCATGAGATGTGCTCGCAATACTCTTCTCGAAAGAGAATGATGCTCGACTTCAACTCATGGAGAATCAATTGATGACCTTACAACAGAAGGATCTGACAATCAGTCAGTACTTCAAGCAAGTAAAACCACTCTGTTCAGATATTGCTTAACTAGATCCAGATTCTAAAGTATCCGATGCAAGGATGAGTAGAATAATCATCCACGGTTTGAAACTGAAATATCACGGACTTGTTGCTGCTACACATGGGTGGCCGACTCAACCAACATTATTAGAGTTGGAGAGTTTGCTTGCTACATAGGAAACCCTAGCCAAACAAATGGTCAGCATTTCAATAAAAAGCGAAGATGAAGCACTCTTCAGCAGTAAGGAGAGAGAGAAACCAAGAGGCGCGAGGAAAGAGGAATATGGAAAGGCTGCTCCAAGGAGGCAGTCAGGACAGCCATACACCGATAAAACACAACAGCGTGAGGAGCAAGGTGATCGTCAAGCAAGGAGACCTGACAATAGCTGCTACAACTATAGAAAGAAAAGACACTTTGCTAGAGACTGCCACTACAAGAGGAGGCCTGCAGAGGGCAATGCTGTAACATCGCGCAGATATCAAGATGAAGAAGAAGAATGGTATGCCCAAGCATCCGTGGTCATCATTGAAGATGTACCAGTCGACGAAGACGAGGTTGTTGGTATGACACTAACCTCGATTAAAGAAGAATCTGAGTCCGCATTTGTAGTGATTTCAGATCAAGAAGAAATCAGCTATAATAAAGATTGCATCGTCGATTCTAGCCGTTCAAACCACATGATGGGAGATAAGGGGAAACTTGTCAACATGAAGGAGTATAAAGGCGGCCGAGAAGTTGTGATAGCGAATAATTTGAGATTACCTATCACACACATCGGAAAGACTGTATTTACTCCGCACTACAACCCGAATCAGATACAACTACAAGATGTATACCGTGTATCGGGTATGAAAAAGAATCTTATATCTATTTTCCAATTAACAGTTTCTGAAAATTATGTAGTGTTTGGGCCACAAGATGTAAAAGTCTATCGAAACTTGAAGCTACTAGGAGAACCTATCATGGAGAGACGAAAGGTAGAATCTGTCTATGTGATGTCGGTAAAATCAACATATATAGATAAAGCCAAAAACAATGAGACGGCTGATTTGTGGCATTCTCGGCTTAGCCATGTGAGCTATCACAAGCTTGAAGGATCTTCCACACTTGGATATTCGTGGAGGGACCGTATGCGGAGGTTGTCAGTACGGTAAGACGCATCAATTACCGTATCAGGAGTCACAATTTAGAGCCAAGAAACCTTTAGAGCTTATACGCTCAGATATATTTGGTCGAGTAAAACAACAAATCAATCGGTGAGATGCGGTACATGTCACTTTCATCGACGATTACTCGAGGTATGTATGGGTTGATTTTCTGAAGGAAAAATCCGAAGCACTCTAAATTCAAGCAATTTCGAGAAGAAGTCGAAGGAGAACTCGGCAAGAACATTCATTGCCTACGCACAGACAACGGGGGAGAGCACATATCGAAGGAGTTTTACGATTACCTGAAGCAGCACAAGATTCGGCGACAGCTAACATGCCCAAATACTCCACCGCAGAATGACGTAGCTGAAAGGAAAAATCGTCAACTTGCAGAGATATGTCGAAGCATGCTTCATGCTAAGAACGTACCAGGATGTTTTGGGGCGGAGTGTATGAAGACGGCGGCGCATGTGAACAATCGGCTACCACAACCAAAACTAGAGTTCATGTCACCATTTCAAAAGTTATGGAATACCAACCCAACCGTAAGCCATTTTAGAATTTTCGGTTGTGTATGTTATGTCTTTGTGCCTAATCACTTACGTAACAAATTCGATAAAAGGCTGTAAGATGTATATTGTGGGGTATGATAATAAAAGAAAATGATAAAGATGTTGTGATCCTACAACCGAACGATGCTACACATCAAGGAATGTTGTGTTTGACGAAGCCTCATCTTGGTGGGCCTCATAAGAAGTTGCACTCCTAGACTCTAGTGATCTAGAGGATCAGTTGCAAAAGAAGTTGGGGGAGTCAGGTCAAGAAAAAGGGCTACGTCAATCAGAAAAGACAGAATCAAGCTCTTCAACATCCTCAAAGGAGAATAATAATGGAAAACCGGTGTTTATCAGACAACGCCAGAAGAAGTGCGCTCGAGCCAGATAGAGGACATCGAAGAAGAACCAGTTGAACAATTTCGAAGATCAACAAGACCTAAAAAACCGAATCCTAAGTATGCTAATGCTGCCATTATGAAAGATGTGAAGGAGCCATCTAGCTTCGAGGAAGCATATGAAATTGTTGAATGGAGACAAGCAATGGAGGAAGAAATTCAAGCTCTACAACAGAATCAAATTTGGGAGTTGGTGCCAAATCCCAAAGATGTCAAACCTATCTCCTGCAAATGGGTTTACAAAGTCAAGACTTGACCGGATGGGTCGACTGAGAGATACAAAGCACGCTTGGTGGCTCGAGTATTCTCTCAACAGTATGGACTGAATTATGACGCGACATTCAATCCAGTTGCCAAGATAACAACAGTTCGAGTTCTTCTAGCTCTAGCAACTAGCAAAAGTTGGAAGCTTTGGCAGATGGACGTGAAGAACGCATTTTTACATGGTGAGGTAGATTGAGAGATTTACATGGAGCAACCCATCGGATTTGAGAGCAAGGAAAAGGAAAGATGTGTTTGCAAGCTAAAGAAAGTTCTCTACGGAATAAAGCAAGCTCCGAGAGTTTGGTATGGTAAGATTGATGAGTTTTTAATTCAAAGTGGATACTCTCTTGCTTCTGTAGATTTTAGTTTATTTGTCGAACAGACTGGTAATAGGCTAGCAATCATGTTGGTCTATGTGGATGACTTAATCCTAGCTGGAGACGATGACGCGGAAATCCAAAGAATGAGGACAAATCTCTCGGTCAGGTTTCAAATGAAGGAGCTTGGGAAGCTCAAGCATTTTCTCGAGTTGGAGGTCGACTGAAGGAAGGATGGACCATTCCTGTGCCAAAAAAAATATCCAAAAGACATGCTGCTCAAGTACGGGATGTTCAACTGCAAGTCAATCTCAATACCGATGGAGACAAATCTGAGACTATGTGCACATGAAGGAAAAGATTTGGAAGATCCAACTATGCATCGACAACTATTTGGAAGCTTGATCTATCTAACGATGACAAGATCAAATATTTCATTTGCAGTTGGTGTGATGAGCCGATACATGCAGAAGCCAAAGAAGCCTCGCTTAGAAGCAATCCGAAGGATCCTAAGGTACATCAAGGGTACAGTTAACTATGGTCTCATGTATAAGAAAGGAGAAGAATGTGAGGTCTATGGCTATTGTGATGCTGACTATGCTGGAGATCATGACACTCGAAGGTCTACTACCGTATGCGTGTTTCGTCTTGATTCAGGGGCTATATCTTGGTGTAGCAAAAGACAGTCAATGGTGTCACTGTCAACTATAGAGGCGGAGTACAGATCAGCAACGATGGCAGCTCAGAAAAACACGTGGTTTTTTCAGTTAATGAGAGATCTACATCAGTCCACAGACTACTCAGTAGCTCTACATTGTGATAATCAGTCTGTAATACGATTGGCAGATAATCCAATTTTTCATGCTAGGACGAAACACATTGAAGTACAACATCACTTTCTTCGAGATAAAGTTCTTCAAGAGGAGATTGTAATGAAGCCAATCGGGACAAACAAACAAATAGCTAACATATTCACCAAAGCACTGAGTACTTTAAAGCTTGCAAAATTTCGAAGTCAGCTTGGACTCGTGGATAGAGAAGTCGCTGCTGAGGGGGAGTATTGAAATTCAGTAGCTTCACACTCACACCTACCCCCACTTATCTAGCTACAGTAACTCACCAACCCTATTACTGTTCCACCAACCCAAAACATTATTCCACCAACCCTTTTGAAGGCTATAAATAGAGGAGTGGTGAAGGGTTAGAGCATCGAACAGAGATCACGGTAGCAGAGAGAGAGAAGGATAGAGAGAGAAAGAGAGTATTTGTATTTGAGAGTATAATGTGTTTGTACCACTAAAGAAATAATAACAATATATTTCTTAGTGTCCACCACTCCTCTCAACTCAACATGGAACTATGGGGTCTTTGCACAACTCTCAAACTAAGCCATACAACTGCTCATGAAAGAGTAGACACAGCTCCAATATTTTTAAATAAACTATGTGACTAGAATAGTTAATGCAACCTCTGCACTACAAAGTAATGGCTTCCAAAAAGTAGAAGTCACAAAAAAGAGGAAAAAAGAGCAGAGTTAAAGACATGTTGCAAGAGTTTAAAGCTACCCTTTCTGGTAACAATAAATAGCTAAAATGTCCAGCAAAATTTAACTTACATAATTATAGAAAACCAGAATAATTTAGTGTACTTTGATATGCTTGACTCGCAACAGTCCAAGATGAATTGTAATGTTTGCTCTTCTAATTCTGGATACATTTTTCCTGACTTCCTTTTTCTGGAAGCAGCAGCAGCCAACTATAGAGATAGGAGATTGACAAGAAAGTATTACAATGAGAAAAACAGTTGGAAGTTTTTTTGCAAGAAGCTTGAGAACAATGCACTCGGAATTAACATATTGTATATAAGTGCATGCGTGCGTGCGTGGAAAGAATACCGCAGTCAGTCTTTGAGAAAACACATCGGGTACTAACGCACATTTGATCTTCACTAATTAACATATTGTGTTCAGAAATATCACGTTCACCATAGGAAGTAACACACCTAAGTAGGATTGTGTTGTCAAGGTTCACTCAATTTCATGTTTAGTTTAGAAGCATTAAGCTACTTCTGAAAGTCTCATGGAAAACAGATCATTGACAAGAATAAGATGTGTAAAGTTGTCATTAATTTTTATACACATGATAACAACACAATATTTTCTGGCAGAAATGTTATCAACTGCGTTATCTCAAAAATTCTGGGAGCAAGCGTAGGATAAACTAATCACAATCACATTAAACTTAATCAATATGCACATATATGAGTTAATATATACAGCCTATTTTATTATTGCTACTACTTTAAATCACAGTGCAACATTACCAAACTTTCATCCATGATGGAAAGAGATGATAGATGCATCAGATATATCTGTACTGGAGACATCTCATTTTGCAAAGTTCATTGCACGAGATATGGAGAGACTTAATGACACAACTACTTATCCTAAAATTCTAAGAATGAAGATGCACATAGCAGAAGTATGGCCCACAAATATACAAGCAACCCAAGAGAACATATGATATTGCAGAAATAACCAAAAATCAGCATGACAAGGCATATACAAAAAGCAAGAGACTGTTTTAGGGTACAACAATGCAGAAGGTCCAAAGGATAGCTGATATTTTGACATTTCGGTATTTAGATGCCATGACAGAAAGGTCAGTGATGCAGACAAACAAGTAGCAGAGAAAGTTGGATCGAATCAACAACTGGATTATCATTTAGACATGAAGATAATGATGTCAGATTTCATGTGAAACAACCAATTTAACAACACCAGAAAACTACATCTTGGACTGTCATTAATGTAACTACATGCAAAATGTAAACTAACAACATAAAGTTCTATCTTCTTAGTAGATTACTAGATTGAAATACAATTGTAAGCCAACAAGAGATTCCACTTATAAAATACAGCATCATATTTAACTTGAAAACTACTATCATGACTGAAATTATGCTAGTTTTTCCCCCTTGCATCATTACTCCTTCATGCATGAAACCTCATGACAGGAATAAATTACACTTTTTAGTGTGAATTTTTTTTCTCATATACAGGCATCCAACACAAGATGTACTTAAAGAATAGGTAACACATGAGATTAGATCTGGGAAAATCACTAAAATTTAAAGTTCCATTTCTACTATATATGGCACAATTATACTCTTGTACTTAAATTTTCCCAAGAAAGGCGTTGTCAAACAGGAAACAAGTTCGCAAATCTATCAAATTAACGAACCTCATCAAATTTTTGACTCATATCTGGTGGGCTGACAACAAGGTAGGCATATGCCATCATTTCCAATGGCCAGCCAGTGATCTGCAAAGGAAACCTTTGAGGCCTGCCAACGTTGAAAAATAATTAATAAGTTTTTCAAGAACTTAAATTTCCTTCATGATCATAATAAAGTATCAAATATATAGTAGCATCATATCGTTCTATCATCACTTTAAGAATTAAAAATTAGAATTTTTTTTCAGTTTACATGAATTTACTATTTTATACAGTAGAAGAACCCGTAAGAAAACATCTTAGAAATTATTAAAAGGGATGTTATCATAATCTACTTTATGATCATGAATTACAAAGTTTGAAATTTCTTTTCAAGATTTTCATCCTTGTGTACCTCCTCCATTTGGGTTGCCATAGTATGCCGGTATAGTAAAATACTGATACTGCAAAATTTTCTATAACATATGGATCAGATAAATTACATGAGTAAGCATGTTGTCATTTTCACTCATAATCAGGATCTAGAAGTCTGATTCTGAAGGAGGCATTTGAAGTCTATGCTGAAACAATTGGATGCACAAAATAGTATATCTGCTTTCATCTTCTTTGATAATGAAAAATATTGGCAGCACTTTATTTTTCTAAAATAATTCAAATGAGAGGAACTCAAAGAGGCATTGAGCTAGTATTAATTAATTATATCTTTTCAAGGAATAAGATTGCAAGATTTAAAATGATGTCGCAAGAATGCATATCTTTAATATCCGACAAAAAGATCCTAATGGCAGGGTAGATTTGAATAGCATAATTTTTTTTTAAGATTAAGGCTAGGTTTGATAGGGGGTTTGAGGAAAGAAAGTGAGGTAAGGTGAGTTGCAATGAGGTGAATGGATGGACATCTCTCCTAGCCTTGAGGGAGAGTGAGGGGAGGTGGATCTTTTAATGGTTCACTTTCTCTCTCCTCTTGTGTCCTCCCAGTTTGGGAGGATTTTTCTCCCTCTAGATTTCTAGTTCATTTTACATTCCTTATCTCACCTAACCTCACCTCACCTCACCTTCTAAAAACCCCCTACCAATGGAGATTTTTAGTTTTGTCCCTCACCTCCCCATGCTTCCCCTCCTACCAAACTAAAGCCTAAAACCACAACCCTTGGTAAAATTATACACCATCTACAAGATTCTTGTGCAGAACTCATTCAGGCACCAATTGCACAAGAATGGTTTTTCAAGTGTCTAAGGAATATGGAAGTTTAATTTAAGAGGGGATAATTGGACCAAGTTCGAATACATAGACATTTTCTAGCACATGAAAGCTTTCCTCTACAGTTTTCACATGCAGTTCAAAACATCTAGTACAATTAATTCTATATATAGCAAACAGTGATTTCTAGAGAATGCTTTGATCATTTTGTATGACATTGGCTTTGTGGTAGATAATTTTCTAGACTTTCATGTTCTTAATTAGGCACTAAATTAAGCTCAGCATACAGCTGTAATTCTATGGAAAGTTTAGAACTCACGATGACAAACCATGCTTTTGCAAGGCTTCTAACTTCTCTTTATAGCATTTGTCAGATTTATCAAGAGACATAGACAACTCAACCGAATCGTTGGGATTCGTACCCTCCTTCGGAACAAAACCATATGAAAGCAATAGTTCTCCATTTGATTTCTTTCCATAAGAGATAAACACCTGTAAAAATAGGAGAGCAACGTGTAAAAGAAGAGCACAGAATCATTATGCTCAGAGTTTAAGACTATGGCTGACAAATATAAAATAAAGGACAACGTAAGCTTTGGGAATTATGTTTTACAGTTACCAGTGTCCTAAATAATATAAGTTCATTCAAAAATTTATTTTCCTTATTTGCAAGCCACATTTATTATTATCAGCATCTCTCTCACATTTACAAAATCTGAACTGCATAAAACTAATGCCATAGTGATGCAGAATGCAGGCATAGCGATCTGTTGAGTTTGATTATTTGGGTGAAAATAAAAAATAATAAAAATGGAAATTGTGCTCTTCATTTAAGAATAAAAAAGATGCAAATGTGGGCCTCACACCGGGCACCTCACATGCCTAATACCAAACATTCTTCTGTCCTTCCCTCAAATGAAAAAGCACATCATTATTTACAGAAGTAAAAAATCCTAATCCTAACTAATGGATAATATCAAATCACACATCCTAACAAATAGCAGATTCATTCCTAACTAAACAACAAACTCAAGTCTAAATCTCAACTAAAAAAATCAAATTTTTTAGAAAAAAATCCTAATGTGATCTTCATCAAATCTTTTGAAAGACTCAAATCTGAATCTGTCCCGCATCAATGGAGTTACTGTGAATTGAAGTCGCAGATATTTTGGTGCCTTATGTAAGGTTTGGCCTAAGTTCAGGAATTTAGCCGCTGTTTATACTTAAAATAAAGTCTCAGAGTTCCTTTCTTTCTGCACACCCTTCCAGTTAAATCCTGATAAATATTATATTACTGATAACTGGACTAAGAATAGTATATATTCTTTTAATTCCTCCATCATTTCTAGTTGTTTGGGATGCAAGTGCCCTCATGTCAATATGATTAGGTGAAAATGCGGTCTCAAAGGGTATAGCACCTATACAGATTAAGCTTTTGTATCAGGTTATATGTGAAGGAGAAGCTTCCTGAAAGAATGTTATGAAGAGAAAAGTTGTGTTGAGAGAGTTGTTTATTCCTTATTGTGCCACATTGGTAGGAACGTACTCTTTTGTTTCTCTAAATACTATAAATAACATCCACGAGAAAACTAATGATCTCTCTAGTGTTTTTATATTAACATGGAATCAGAGCCGCCCTCTCTTCTCTCCTCTCTCCAATTTTCTAAACTCTAGCCGCCACCTTCCACCCCTCTCAAATCCTAGCCGCCACCTCCCAAACCCTAGCTGTCACCTTCTATCCCTCTCAAACCCTAGCCGCCACCCACCAACATCAAACTCTAATCCTTTGCCCTCAACCACCACCACTTCTGACCACATATTGTTCCGTGGCTACTGTTCATCGGTGATACTATTCATCCACCCCAGATCAGATCCAGCCGGAACCTCTTCTCTCATGTTAACTTCGACCTCCCAATTCAGTAATCCCTACTTCCTTGTTCATTAACCCTCAACTTTGGCGCAAAATAAAAGAAACTTTTCGGATCTGTACACCCTAGATCCAAAACAGTGAAAAAATGTGTTAAGCTAATCATTTGGCTTAATCAACTAAACATTCATAAATCTTGAGCTAATCATTCAACTTACTAACTATCTTCATAAATCTTCAGCTAATCATTTAGCTTAACCAATTAGATCTTTCTAGATCTTAAGCTAATCATTTAGCTTCATCTTACGATCAGTCGTTAATAATCTTTTTGAGATAAGCGATATGTCATTCTCTCGAAAGACCAACTTTGCAGGATAGTTTCACTTGGTGAATTGATTACTTGTGATGGTTAGTTGTTGTGGCTTGATTACTTGGTGTGATTACTTGTTGATGATCTGTTTGTTGAAAATTAATATATTTCTGGGTGAGGTTGATAGTTATTTGCTAGGAGATTACTAATTGAAGAATCTTATTTGCAGTGTTGATAGCATCCTCCGGTGATTCTGCTATTTCGGTGGATGAGAGAGTTAAGATGAAGACCCGCATAGAGGTGCTCTCCAGCAAGATCACTGATCAGAAATTGAATGGGTCTAATTACCTACTTTGGAAGCAACTTATCTGAGTTTATGTTTCAGGTAGGAGAAATGATCATCTTATAGATGACCCTCCATGCCAGTTACTGCCTCTTGGAAGCTGGATGACACTAGTCTACTTCATCTAATTTGGAATAACATGGAACCATAGGTCCTTCAGCTAGCAATTCACTATAATACTATGAAATAGGCATGGAAGTTCTTGAAGCAATTGTAAATGTCGTGGACAAGCTAATCGGGTGTATGACGTCATGCAAGAGTTATTTCAGAGCAAGATGGACGAGCACAGTCAGACGTTTAAGAAGCATTATGGCAGCTTCAATCGCCTCGCAGAGGAGTTGAGATAGATTTTTCCCATTACGATGAACGTTCAGAGAAGATGCAAAACCAGTAGGATCAACTGATGGTATTCACCTTCATTAGTTCTCTTTCACAGTATTATGATTTAGCATGAGCACAGATTATTGGGAGCTTTACTATACATTCCTTAGCAGAGACATTATTTTTTGAGATCAGCAGTGCAAGCAGCTCATATAAGTACCATAACAGAGTTTGCCAACAAGTCTGTTCTCCCCACAAAGTAGACAGTCGAGAGGTTAGTCATGATGGAGGCTGCTTTGGTGGATGTAGGACTCTTTGGAGTATATGGGGGACGAAGTGATAATCCACGAGGAGTTATAAGGGAGGGTTCATTTGATTCCTCTATTATTGTAAGGAACCAGATCACATGAAATTTCATTGTCCTTAGCTACAGGGAAAACAACCTCAGAGTGCACATGTGACTACACATGAGTCCCATAGATGATGATACTTGTCGCAAGCTTGAGCAATTTCAGCTACAGTTATTGTAACAATTCCAAAAGACACAATCCTTTCCTACTACAGTTACACTTGCCCAGTTAGGTAAACTCACTGTTTATCTTACATCGTCATCGTCTCATACTTAGGTTATAGATTTAGGGGCAATTGATCATATGACTGGGAACCAAAATATATTATCCTCCTGCACACCTACCACCTTCTTTTCTTCAATAGTATTAGCTGATGGATCCGCTACACTTGTAAAAGGTATTGGATCTAACTACATTAATACTATTCCACTTTCACCCTTGCTATATCTTCTCATTTTTTATTTAATCTCTTATCTGTCAGCAAGATTACTAAACATTAAATTGTATGGTAATATTTTTTTCCTACACATTGTCTTTTTTAGTGAATTGGGATAAGGAAGACGATTGGCACTAGACGTGTGCGGAACGGCTTGTATGAGCTGGACTTTGCCCCAGCCTAGGTGGCTTGTATTAGTTATACATCAGCCTTTGTTGAACATTGTCGGTTTGATCATCCCCTTTTTTTGATTTTTAAAACTTTTATTTCAATTTTGAATCATGTTGAGTCCTTAGAGTGTGAGTCGTATCAACTCGAAAAACATCAACAGGTGTCTTACCCCAGTCACGTCAATAAGAGGACTAGTAACCCCTTAGACTTAGTGCATTCGAATATATGGGGGTCTTGTTCTGTTCCATCCAAACTCGATTTCTAATATTTTGTTAGTTTTGTGGATAACTTTTCTCGCATGGCATGGATCTACTTGCTAAAAAATCGTTTGAATGTGTTTCTCCCTCTTTAGAGTTTTTATGCTGAGGTTAAAAATTAGTTTTATAATACCATTAAAACTTTAAGAACAAATAACGTTAAGGATTATTTTGATAGCTCCTTCACAAATATTTGGAAGACAATGAAATTTTACATCAGCCATTTAGTACTTACACACCTCAACAAAATGGGGTGGCTAAGCACAATAACAGGCACTTACTAGAAATTGCTAAGACCTTAATAATCCATCGTCAAGTTCCAAAATAGTTTTAGGGAGATGCCATTTTGACAGCTTGCTACCTAATCAATAGCTTACCCTCATCTATCTTACAGAACAAAACTCTGACCTCTCTTATATCCAACTAAAGACGCTTTTTATTTACCTCCTAAGATCTTTTGGTCTCTATGTTTTATTCACAATCACAGTTCTTAACGGCCGAAATTAGATTCAAAATCTCTTGGGGTATTTTTCTTAGATATTCTAAGACTCAAAAGGGTACATATATTGATGTCCCTTCTCGAATCAGTATATTGTTTCAGCCGATGTTACCTTCTTTGAGAATAAACTAGGACATGTTGTCCTTGATAAATGCTTAGACCCTCCCAATGACAATGACTACAAGTCACTACATTATAGTTCGGGAAATCACTATCAATGTTCTTTCCAAGGCTGATGTACAACCTGGTCTACCATCTAAGTTTGTGAAACCAATTTAGGTTTATACAAGATGTACTACTCCATAACCTGAGCCATCGTTCAAATCCACATAAGAGCCTGATATACTAGCAAGTCAAAATGTGCCCGTACATCTTAGTGCTCAGCCTAGTAATGATCTTCCCATTGCCCCTTGAAAAAGTAAGAAAGCTTATTCTCGGAGTTCTCAGTATCCTCGTAAACAATACACACTATGTTTCTAACTTTTCGTTATCTCCATCACATTACTATTTCATATCTTTTTTAGATTCTTATTGGGTTTCCAAGAATTTGTCAGAAGCTCTAACCCAGGTTGGACGACGGCAATGCAAGAAGAGATGATGGCTTTAGAGCGAAATGAGACTTGGGATCTTGTTTCACTATAACCAGGGAAGAAAGCGGTTGCCTGCAAATGAGTGTATGTTGTAAAAGTAAATCCAGATAGCTCTCTCACCTCAAAGCTTAACTAGCTGCGAAGGGATATTAACAGATCTATGACCTTGATTATATCGATACCTTCTCTCTTGTAGCTAAGATGTTTGTCCGCATTCTTATTTCGCTTGCTGCTCGTTATCATTGGTCACTACATCAGTTGGATATTAAAAATGTATTCCTTAACAACATTCTTGATGACAAAGTTTATACGGAGCAATCACTAGGTTTTGTTGCTCAAAGGGAGTGTGATTGTGGCAAGGTTTGCAAGTTAAAAAAAGACCTCTACGACTTGAAGCAATGTCCGAGGGCTTGGTTCAGATATTTTGCAACAGTTTTCTGGACCTTCGGTCTTCATCAAGCTCAGAAAAACCACTCGGTTTTCTAGAGATTTTATGGTAGGAAGCAGATCCTTTTGAGTGTACATGTTGACGACATTGTGATCAGTGGCGACCATGCATAAGGCATTAGTCATTTGAAGAAGTATCTATAGCAACAATTTCAAACTAAGGTCCTTGAATCCTTAAATTATATTCTAGGTATCGAGGTGGCTAGATCGAAGAAGGGAATTCTCTTATCTCAGAGAAAGTATATGCTTGATAGGTTGCTAAATGCTAGGATATTAGAATGCAAGGGCATTGACTTGCCTATATATGACAAGGCCAAACTACTACCAACTCAGGCAGAGTTACTGGAGCATACTGAAAAATATAGAAAGTCATGAGACCAAATATTATATTTTCCATTAGTGTAGTTAGTTTCTCTTGGCACCTAGAAAACCTTATATGGAAGCTGTGAAGAGGATTCTTTTGTATCTCAAGAAAACTCAAGGAAATGGAGTACTCTATTCAGATAGGGATCACACCAGTTGCAGGATTCTCAGATGTAGATTGGACAAATCAGACGGTCAACTACTGGGTATTGTGTTTCTTGAAGAATATCATGGAAGAATAACAAAAAGAGTGTAGCCTCTCGATCTACAGCTGAGTCTAAGTATCGACCCATGGCGAATTTGACTTGCGAGCTGATATGGGTTAGAAATATATTAACAGAGATTGGTTATCCACTGGAGTATCCATGAGCTTGTATGGAGATAACAAGACATCCATTCACATAGCTAAGAACCCAGTGTTTCATGAAAGGATAAAACATATAAAGATTGAGTGCTACTTGATTCGTAAGAAAATGGAAAAGGGAATCATTAGAGCCAAGCATATATAATCAGAACATCAACTTGCAGATATTCTCACAAAACTTCTTGGGTGAACATGAGTGAATTTTATTTATAATAAGCTGGACATATATGATATGTATGCTCAGCTTGAGGGTGAGTTCTGAGGTGTTTATTTCTTATTGTTTGGTCCCACATTGATTAGGAACAAACTCTTTTGTTTCTCTAACCACTACAAATAACATACAAAAGAGAGCTAGTGATCTTTTTAGGGTTTTCACATTAACAAGTTGAATAATGGAATTTCATATAACAGGTAAAATAGCAAAGAAACCTCTATCCACCAATACATAGAAAGAATATATGTCGAAATAATTTCTAAACCCTATTGACTATCAACACACAACTTCATCAATACAGAGCGTGATAGTGCAACGAACCCAAGTTACACAAATACGGGTTCGAGTGCAGTTATAGGAACGAGAACAGAAAATAAATTTGTAAAATGTAGGGTACGGGGACACGACTACACATATATGTATATATGATAATAATTTACATTAGATCAGTATTAGTTTTTCATTTCACGAGCTATGAAATCAAATTCCTGTAACAATTATATGTTTCTTTTTAACATAGATCGATAAATTAGAAAATTGCTCGTCTTTTAACTTGATATTCCAGAGAACCTTTATATTCATAGTTTTGAACTAGGTACAGGCTAAAATGAATTCAACTTATGTCCAACGATTTCAAAGATTGCATGTGAAGTGTAAGACATACATCCAAGAAGTGAAGTGTAAGACATACATCCAAGAAGTATATGAGTGTTTTAAATTAAGACATGTATTATGTAATTGAGTACAAATTCGACTAAGTGTCCACAATATCGAAGGAGTATCCACTGAAGTTCCCATGTTGGGTACAGATACGACATGGGTATTGCTCCAAATAGAAGTCCCAAGCAACATAGCAAAGAGCTATTTACTTGTTTTTCAAATTTGATAAGAGACAAAATGAGAAAATTTGTTCAGTGTTCCTAAGAGGATGCGCAATATCGAAGGAGTGTCCACTGAAGTTCCCATGTTGGGTATGGGCACGACATGGGTATTGCTCCAAATAGAAGTACCCAAGCAACATAGCAAAGACCTATTTACTTGTTTTTCAAATTTGATAAGAGTGCAAAAGGGAAAATTTGTTCAGTTTTCCTAAGAGGATGCGCAATATCGAAGGAGTGTCCACTGAAGTTCCCATGTTGGGTACGGGTACGACATGGGTATTGCTCCAAATAGAAGTACCCAAGCAAACTTAGCAAAGAGCTATTTACTTGTTTTTCAAATTTGATAAGAGTCCAAAAGGGAAAAATTGTTCAGTGTTCCTAAGAGGATGGTTTGGAATTTTAATCCACAATAGAATTACAAGTATGACCCAACATTATATATTCTGTAAGAAGAAAAAGAAAAGGAGTATGCACATGAAAATTGCTCCTGCAAGATAGCTATATTCTAAAAAAATTCGTTTCTGCACCATCATTGTTGATAGCATATGATTTCCACTTACAACTAAGTAAAATAAACAGAGAATTACCTGCTCACCTGGTTGATAAGACCTGTCAGTTGTAAAAACTACCCCCATTGATGACTTGTCAAAGTCCAAAAATGTCTCCACCTAGATGACATAGTTGAGATATATCTGATCAAAGCTTCTATTGATGAAAAAGGAAACAAGTTCCAACAAACTTAGGTTAGAGTATAATTTGTCAGTATACTAGATCACAAGAGATCTTGAACAAAATAGGAATGAAGAGCTATATAAAAAATGTGTTTCTAACAAATTATGAAATCATATTTACTACTTCAAAGTAACATTTTTCAGAAAAGGTTGTGATAAGAACTCTTAAGGGATTAAGTTAATTTCATAAGTTCAGGGTGTCATGAAGAAAACCAAATGAACTTGTCATACAAAAGGACGTTATCTGGTTTTCCTGATAGAACTCGATTTGCTTGTAAATCGCACAAAATAAGTTAACCTTGGTGTAAATTACCAAAGTAATCATTAATTTGGTTTTCCTGATAAAGCATATTTCAAAGTAACTAGAGGTAAAACCTTCTGAAGGGAAGCATATTTAATTCAAGAGGGGATATGCAATTTATAAAAAGCAAATGAGTATATATGCTGGAATCTTCATGTTACGCAAGTCTGATAAAGAAATTTATATCTGAAAAAAGTTCTGATGATAATTCAATTAAACAATAACATCCTTGGTGAGGCAATAACAGAGAACGAAGATTGTCAGCGATTAGAACTCCGAAAAGAAAACAAGATATGATCTGAAATTGTGTTGAATTGAATTACTTTCTGTACCCTTTATACAGTTGCATATTTATGAACCACTGAATTTAAACGTTTTGAATTACCATAGATTTCTTCTTATATTCAATACGAAAAGCAGACTTTGATCCTCAATTCTTAAGAAAATTAGTTAAAAAAAAAGGAGTACCTCAGAGCTATGGTTTAGCATATCTGCCCAAGGAACTAATGCCACTTTTCCATCCATCGATGGCAGACGGACCTGTATGTCAAAGATCATAATCCATCAATATTATATTTCTATCTCTTTTTTCAGATAATATATTCACAATAAGAACATGAGACAGTATAAAAAAATCCAATCTGCAGTAAATTTAATGCAAAAATAATCTGAAATTGGTAGCTC